TTGCGCAGGAATGGAGGCACAGGAAGGCTAAGCTGGCAGTGAACAGCCGATCCTGGGTTCAAAGCCAGCTGGTGTCCCAAACCACCCTGCCTCTGAGGTGTGAGGTTTAAATGCCTGATGATCTCTCCGTGTTTCCCAACCAAGGACTGACACTGATGCCGAGCAGAACTGGCAGGGCACAGAGAAAAATACCTGGAGGGACTGTGCGTTTTTCAAATCAGCTTTTAATAGGCCCCTTAAAACTGGCAGACTTGTATATCACTGCCAAAATGTCTCCTTTCCTGTAACATCACCACTGTCTCTCTTTTGAAGTTAATTGATTTCTGCTAGTTTAAATTGTGTGTCTAAAATTCAGTTTCCGCGAAGGAGGCATGCACACTTTCTCCGAAGGATATGCAGAGACCAGGCAGGCACTACACAGGGATTGAAGCAAACATTTGAAAAATTTTCTGTCCTTCTTACTTTTCTCCCTGTAAGTTATGTAAAATGCATCTTTGCAGATATGATAAATAGAAGGCCTGTAGGTATAAAAATAGGCAAAATGCATGTGTATAATATTAACAAGGTGTGATTGCTCATTTCTCTGCTTCCTGGTATCATTTCTACTTTATTTGGTTGAAACTGAGGAACAGGGATATTCAGTGATCTGCCTAAAGTACATCCATGAAGCCCAGTGGGCATGGCTCAGTGGCTGAGCATCAACCTAGGATCCAGAAGATCGAGGTTCGATTTTCGGTCAGGGCACGTGCCTGAGTTGCGGGCTCGATCCCCAGCAGGGGGAGTGCAGAAGGCAGCCCATCAATGACTCTCTCATCACTGATGTTTCTCTCTCTCTCCCTCTCCTTTCCTCTCTCTGAAATCAATAAAGATATATTTTTAAAAATACATCCATGCAAATACTAAGCAGAGAAGGAAGACTGTGAACTCAACACTGCTAATCATGATGTTGATGAGCAGGACATGCTGAGAGACTGTGTGCTGGCTGGGCCATCCTTGCGGGTAATCGAGGCCCTGACAATGAAGGCAGAGCAGCAGGGAGAGGAAGGGAGGCAGAGCCTTCCATCAGCGAGGGAATGGCTGGGGAAGCGGGAGGGAGGACTGAGGGGATAGCGCAGCTTCCTCAGTGGAACCCTTTGTGCTGTGTTCGTCTGGTTTGGCTTGGTTTTCCTATTAGGAAGAAGAGGGATAAATTGAATAATAATCTGGACGCATGGGGAGGCTGCTGGCCACAAGTGTGAGTTCCTCAATTTTCAGTCAAAGTCACTAATCTTATCAGCCCTAATTTAGCTGTTATTCAGAAAAAGGGTTCCCAGAAATAAGCTGACAAATATGAATGTTGCAAGAGGAGAGATGGGAATGGTGTGAAGTTAGAGCTGCGGCTGGTGGCCTGGTCACCACTCCCGGGGGCCCAAAGCACGCCCGTCTGGGCAGAGTCGCCCGATGGGAGCTGATGGGACTGTTTCTGAGCCTTCCCCTCGGTGCCTCCACGCCCAGGCTGGGTGGCCTGTGGACGGCCCTGCGCTGCCACAGGGACAAAACCAGCAGCGAGCTACAGCCGACGACTGTGCTGTTTGTATTCTCTCCTCCGTCAGTTTTAGTCTCTTCTTCACTGTTGCCCAAGGTGTACTTTCAAAGCTTTTCCCGAAAGCTGGGCTTTCCTTAGGGACAAAGTAGAAGGGAAAACCGCGTGACAGGGACAGATTGCTGTGCGAGGCCCGGGCAAGCGGGCGGCCGGGCCCAGCTAGAGGCCGTAGGGGCAGAGCGAGCGATGCCTGCGGGGAACTGCACGCTCACCCTGCACAAAGGGGGGTGCTGGTTTCCCATGTGAGCCTCTGGCTGACACTTAAGCGGGCTCAGTCTCCAAGTTCTTCCCCCACTTCCTTGCCAGGGGCCGATCTCCCTTCTTTGAGGTTGCCCTGCTCTACCCTACTTTGGACACTGTCTCTCCACCTATGCTCTTCCCCACTGTCTTTTAAATTTGGAAATAAACTAAACAAGCTACATTATCAAGGACTTGCTGGTTTCCAAAGCGACAACTCCTCCACCTCAGAGCTGATAAACACAGAAAATTTAAGACGGATATTTTTTGCAAAGTAAAATTTCTCGACTCTTGCAGACTGTCTTTGCTTTGTAGCTGTTTCACTGCTGATAATATTTTCTGTCTTAAGCCAGGTCCCTGCTCTTTGGCCATCCAGTAGTAGAATCTAAACTTACCCGTAAAACACCACCAGGGAATATTGCTATTTTTAACAAAATCTCTGTGATGCAAGGCTTCTCAGGAATAAGGAAATTCTGAGAATGGCGATGATGAATTGAGGGAATTTTTAAAGCAATGCAGAGTAAAAAATACTAGAATATTAACCTGGTTAAGGTAAAACATGTATTTTTTTAAATAAAACATCTATTCATCATTAAAGATTACACATATACTTCAAAATTTTGATTAAATTGGGTCATGCTTTATTAAGATGAACAAACAGGAAGCATTTTTTATTATATGGATTTCTCTTGCTCTTGTACCTGTATCTATCAAAAAGCAAAACTCTTTGAGAAAAGCATGCTCAAGCTTCCCCCAAACTACCAAAACCAAAACCACCCTGCAATGATGTTTCCCAGAAGAAGAGCTGCTTATCACATTTTGGGAAATTCCACCAAACTCGATTTATGCAATAGCAGTGCATCTTTAGACTTTCTCCCTTCACTCTGAGTCTTTAATATTGTCATAAATTTCGTCCACTCCATTGGCATTTTCTGCTTGCCACATTCTGTCTTTGGATTTGGATGGGTCTGAACTTATCAAGGTGACATATGTGTGATTTTTAAATGGAAATTTTAATTTGTCCATTTTAAAACCCAGCACCAATTAGGAGGGACACTGCCTCCTTAACAAAAGCGTGGGGCTCGCACATCTGGTCACACAGCCTGTGGCAGGCGTCCTAGCGTGGGCCGGGCTGCTCTGATATCGTCACACAGGGTTGATGTACCTACAGCACTGGGCACGAAGGCAGGAAAAGGGCACTCACTGTGCATTTGTCCTGATACCCACGGGGCCTGAACACTTCAGAGTCGGTTCAAATTCATTGAAAATTCTTTTGAAACTTGAAATTTTTCAAATATCTTTCCTCATTTTCTTTTTCACACAAATGGAATAATGCATCTTAAGTTATGAAGAACCCTTAAAAAGCAAGACAAAACACACACACAAAAAACACTTCCCCTTATAGCAGCTATCTCCCTAGGATACCATTTCATATTAAATGAATTTACAAAAACTGAAGCGCTGGAAATCGTCCACATGTCAGAAATAAAAACCTGAAAGAAGTTACAGCACACTATAGCACACACCCAGCAGGTAACTCAAGGGGAAATGAAAATAAAGCACCATGGTTCCGGTAATTCTGAATAAAGGCGAACTAACATCAATAGGCCAGCTTCCAGAGAACAAGAATTTATTTATTTTTTTCATCAGAAATTGCTCCAGTCCTCAGTATTTCCTGACTTTTTGCCATTTTAAACCTAGTGATACACCTGCTTTATTTCAAGGACAATAAAATGAATTTTTAAAGAGGTTATGAAAATACGTGGCTGTTTTAACATTTATTTTTCAACAGCCTTTTGGGTATCTGGGGTGTCCACATATCAGAAGTCTTTGTTCTCAGTGTATGAGGAAAATTGCCAAATACACTAAGGAGTGCCAGGCTTAAAACGGTGCTAAAAGGAACCTTTCCCATCACCCAAATTCCGATTTCACTCACAATGAGAGGTAGGAAATTATCCAGGTGCCTTTCAGTGTTGCTGCTCCAGTTGCAATGGACTTTATCTAATAGTTTATTACCCAGAAAACAAAGCACATTCTAGAGAAAGAATCCACAGCCCCACCTCTGACAGAACCGCCCCTTTGAATTCTTTTGTTGATTTCATAGATCTCTAACTACCAGAGGATCGTTTTTGTAAATCTGATTTTTATGCTCTCAGCATGCTTGCCTCCTCTGTAAGCAGGACAGATTCCTTCACCAGCAACGATGGGTGCCTCCCTGCTTAACTGGAGCGTGACAGATTAAGTGTCACGCCGACCACTAAATGCCACGTGCCCCGTACAGAGGCTGTTCCGAAGCTGGGGCTTGGGCTGCCTGGGCTGTATGTGTTCCTTGACCTGCCAGCTGACGAGCTGAGGCTGTCCGAGGCAGCCAGCAGCCCTACCAGGGTGACAGGGCAGAGGCGACATGCCCCATCACAGGGGCTTCCAGGCAAATTCCTCGCCTCCAAATTGTGCGGCCTCAGGAAAGTTGCCTTGTGTCACGCCTGGCAGAAAGCGGGCAGTTTGCACATGTTTGCTGAATATAAAAGAGAAAATGAAGAGAGAAAACTGTGAGTTTGTGGAAAATGCACAGAGGCCTTGCAATGTAGAGATCTTGCCACGTCTGAAAGAAATGTTTTTTCTGGCCAATCGAGCCACAGAGACTTGAAGAATAGCTAAGTAAAAAAAATTTAAAAAGTAAAAGTTTAGCAAAGGAAAAAACTAATAAGACACACAGAAAATAAACAGTAGCCCAAATCTACTGATATTGGGTAAATTGCATAAGAAATGTTTTTTTATTAGAAACACGACACTTGCAATACGGTGCTTTGGAAAGGACACCTGCAACCTCTTAGAGACCAGTGTGTGGCACAGAGCAAAGCACACCTGCATCCAGCACGGCGATAGGAGCACGACCACTACTGAGACTGCGACGAGGGGCATCTCAAAAAGTATCGGATTTGCTCATTAGGTAGCATATATAAAATTATAAAAGCAAAGCAGACCCGGGGTGTTTTTGCACAGAAATAGAGTCTAAAATCTGACCGTTGATGTTACAAAACAGACTGAATCAAATTATACAAAAGCAAAAACATGCTATTCTCACATGTATTTATTTTATGTATTTGGCGATTTTGCTTGCTGCAGTCTTGAAACTTTCCCAACTACATGCGGATGTTTATTATTTATTCCCTTTCCTCAGGTGCAAAGAAGGCTACCAAGGAGTCCGCTGTGATCAATTTCTGCCGAAAACCGATTCCATCTTATCGGATCCAAGTAGGTCAAGCCTTTTTTTTCTCTAACACAATTTATAGGCCGCCCATACCCTGAGCTGTGGCCACTGGTCAGCTGAAGGCTGTATCGGGGCTCGTGTGTCTGCAAGTGGCCAGGTGGCCGCTGGGGACAGATGTGAATGTGCAAAGCTTGCTCGGAAGTAAGGAGGTCTAGGTCCAGCCTTCCGGAGCAGGCCTGGTCTCACATTCAACTGCACTGCTACCTACCTCCCCGAACTGCATCAAAATTTGCTCCCTCAGCTTTCAGGGTGCCCCACCCACCCCCACAGCTT